AAGGCACATGAAAAAATGATCAATATTATTTTCCTTCTTTACATGTTATTTTCTTGCAACCAGGTAATAGTTTCATACAACCTTTTTTAAAAATAACACAGAATTTTGTCTCCAAGCTTCTAATATGCTTTAGATATGCTTAGTTGAGCAGAAAATATTCCCTCTTGTCTCTTCTGGTTTTATAATCCTATTGTCTTTACCGAAAGAGTGAGCTGCAAGACAGTAGTCTTTCCAAGTTGAGCACTCAGTGATGACTACATATTCCTCAATTTGCTTAAGTATGCATCCTTTGTTATTGAGAATTAGTGTTTTCCAGGAAAAAAGGGAAGCCACGTGTTTATCAAAAAGTATTAGTGCAGGCAGCTGTGAGAGTAAAATGAGAAAGAAAACCCTAAGGATTACATATTGGCCTCTGAATAATCTCATAATCTGGTATTCTGATCAATCTTTATAGTTCTATAAAGGCCCTGCTTTATCTCTGAAGAATAAGAACAATCCAGGAGAGAGTGAAAGGAAGAAAGCAAACAGATAAAGAAAAACTGGAACAGCAGCTGAGAGACATATGCTCACCGCTCTCTCTTCTTCTCCTTTGTTTTATTGTCCCGGAAGGAATTGAGATTTTGGAGCCACACAAATCCAAGTGTGAATCTCACTGCCTGAAGTTGTACAGCACTGGGCATTTTACTTAGCTTCTCTGAGTCACAATTTCTTCATTTAGGCAATGTAGACACGACTGCTCCCCAGCCCAGTTGTTGGGTAGATAACTGCTATCAAGGTATGGAGGCTGGAAATAGAACAATAGAAAGCAGCTATTACTAATGGTAGCTGGTTGTTAATGGTCACCACTTCTTCATTTGTTCAACATTCAACAAATATTATTGATCACCTCTCCAGGGCAGGAATACAGTGAAGAAACAGATAAAGTCTCTTCCCTCAAGAGGCTATGTTTCATCCTTTGAATACCCACAGTTTTCAAAATTCCATCCCCCTACCATTCCACTAAAACTCCTCTGGCAAAGTATCATTGCCCTAGTTATCAAATACAAAAGATAGCTTGTGGTCCTCAATAACACCTTTTTGTAGCACCTAATAGCACAAAAACACAATTATCTTCTTGATATCTAGAATACTCTCTTCTGATTTCCTTTTAGCTTCCAACTGAAACTTCTGTCTCCATTGCTAGTTTTTACTTCTTCTGTTAACCCTTTAAAATGTCCTAGTCTTCCAACTTTAACCCTTTTTCTTTTATACTCTACACTAGTGGTTCTTGATCTTTTCAGAATCATGAACTCCTTTATGAATCTGAAGAAGCGCTCCCCTCCCTAGGGGAGAAAAAAGGATCTGCTTACAAATATACAAAAAATTGCATACATTTTCAGGAGTTTCACAGACCTTCCTGCCTTAAAGCCCATTGTTGAACTCCAAGCTGAGGCGTTCCTGTGGCTTTAACTGTTATCCATATGTCAATGACCCTCAAATCTTTGTCTCCCACATAAACCATCTTCCTGAGCAATAGGCCTACTCTCAAATAACTTATTGACAACTCTATATGAATGCCAATCAGGCATCTTAAAACACATATCCCAAACCAAACTCATTATCTTTCCCCTAAAATCTGTTTTCCTTCTAGGAGACAACCACCTATGCGAAAGAAAACACTAATTTTAAACCTATCAAACCTAGATTTAAATCCAGCCCTGGAAGCGTCAGTAATGTATGTAAGCTATTTGTGCTTTAATTTCTGTATATTTAACATGAAGATAATATCTCCATTCTCTGGATTGCTATAAGAATGAAAATAGGCAATGGGAAAATCCCTACCCAAGCACCACCACAGAGCATACATTCCACAAATTAATATTACTGGATTCCCAACCTCAGTAAAAGCAATCCCATTCACCAACATCTTAACTCAAAAATGTAGGACTCATCTTCAACTTGTCCTTTGCCTCATCTGCAACTAACAGACAGCTATGTGGTATCAATTCCTCAGCTTCCCCTCTGCCTTTAATTCAGGCTTTCACATTCTTTCTCATGGACATGGAAGTAGTCTCCCAACCACTTGATCTAATTCCAATTCCACATCCTATCCTCGGTACTGAAGCCCAAGGATTTTCTCAAGACACAAATCTTGTAACGCCGGAACTCTGCTTAAACCTGCCCAGTTGCGTCTCATTGCTTTCAGGATTACATCTATCTTAGGTTCTGCACTGAAGGCTGACAACGATCTGGCCCCTGTCTACCTCCAACACAATTGGTTACCTGTGGATCTTCCCAGTTGTCACAGTGTTTTGGATTCCATCTCTCTGTCCACACTGCTTCCTTTGACTGAAATGTCTTCACCCCTCTCATGTCTTTTCTTGGCATTCAGGCAAACAATTACTCATCTTTCAAAACACAGTTCAAGCATCACCTCTGCTATGAAGTTATTCCTGACAGCCTCCTGCCATTCTGCTGATCACTGGCTCCTCTCATCTCCACCACTACTTGATAGATGATTTTCTAACATGGCAAAGATGAATAAATATGGTCCCCAGTCTCAAAAAGCTTACCATCATCATTCAACCAGAAATCCTGTTATATAACCTGGACAAGTAAGCCAAACTGAAAGAGAAGTTATGAGGCATGAAAAAATGACGAGTTGTAAGTAAGTTCAACACTCAGCTCAGCAGTTTTCCTCAGAAGCCTCTGTGACTCCCAAGCCGTGAGCTGTGTGTGGACGCGTGAGCGTGTATGTGGACGCACGAGCTGCTATACAAAGGTTAGGTGTACAGGGGCTGATTTAATGTTCACAAACCATCTGAGTTGGGCACTATTATCATCCCCATTTTAGAACTGAGGAAACCAAAAGCATAGTGACTAAGTAACGTGCCCAACCTGACTGAAAATATCAGTATGAATAAAGTATGGATTTCAGTTAACTCTTAAAAAATATAACCGACAAATGAAAATAATATAGTGTTTATAAATAAGTCGTGTGGTGTATACTTATTGGGTCTATTAAGGGCCTAGAACGCAAAGAGAAAAACGTGTCTCAAAAACAGCGAAAAATAAAAAACTACGATACAAAGAACGGAAGACTACCTCTCGGGAGCAGTAAGAAGTCGGGGAGAGAAGAGGCTTTCAAATACATTAATGAGTTAATAAACGAAATTAAATGACTGTCTAAACGCAGCTGAGGAGCCCTCGACTCCAACCCACTAACTCACCTGCACCTCAGCTTTTCTCCTCGCACGTCGTAGCCAATGGAACGGCGGCTCTACGGGGGCCTACCGTGCGCGTGCGCATCAGTGTTTCGACGCTCCTTCCCATCGATGTGTTCGGCAGCAACTCCTTCAGTCTGGCCACCGCCAGCGTAGACGCTGCCCCTCCTGCCGACGCGCCGCCATTTTGAAGACGGGAAGATTCAGGGTCTGGACGGCTGGAGGCGGCGGCGGTGACTGGTACGGATGGTTTCCGCCCGCGTTAGCCCCTCCAAATTCGCCCATCTGTGGGCCACAGCTCTCGGTGTTGCCCCTAGTCCCACAGGGCCCCTGTCGCTGTCCCCAGTCGTCCTGTCACTCTGTCCCTCGGATCTTTTTCGCTTTCTCATCCTCCAGCTGTGCTCGAACCTTTGTTTAGAGCTGTCGTCAGGCCTAAGTGCCTGCTTTCGAGCCTCAGGACTCCAACCCGCTGGACGGCTCCTCCTTCCCCG